AGAAGAATCTACTGGGGAAGACAATGTCTTGGCAGCAGAAACTGATGCAATTTTTGGAGCAATGAAAGTTATATATGGATGCTGCCCTACAGAGGGAGGACAACCACCAAATATGGACCCTGAGAGGTAAAGAATGGCATTACAACCAAAATGAGTAAATAAACTGGGTGGCATTGCTCAGGTTTAACAGCTACTTTACATACACAATCCTGTAGGGTTATGCTAGTGTTTTTATAACAAATCTGTCGACATGTTTATAATATGCTGCCATATTAGTTTTAATATGGAGGCCAGGGCCTGACTCAGGCTGTAGTGCCATTGGATGGATGGATCAATTTTGATATGTGTGGCTATTAAAGTTCATTAGTATTAGGAATATTTCTCTGCATTATTTAAAGTTTTGTACCTAAGAATTTCCTTTCCTAGAATGAAAAATATTATTTAAAATACCAAGCATGAAAGGATATCTTTGCTCAGCAGCCTTGCCACATGAAAAGTTTGTAATTTTTCAGTTTAGTACCATTAAAGAAATTTCAAGATTACATAGCATTGTTTCTACCTCAAAAGTTTTCAAGGTTACACTGTCAATAGTTGAAGATAAATATTTCAGTCACTATGACAATGTCAACTGCATGGAAGTACATAAATTGATACCCAAAATTATCATAATGTGTGCACATATTTACTTTTATACCTTCTGTAAATGTTAAGAAGTATTTTACTGTTCTTTGTATAAGCAGCAAAATCAACTATGTATGTATCACGGAAAAGTATCCTTTATGATACAGGTATGGGGGATACAAACCTTTAGAATCACATCAAACTAAACTAGGATGGATTCTCTGGTAATGGTAATGAGCCTTTGGGTTCCATAACATGGAATTTCTTAAAAAATTGACTAGATTTAAAGCAGTCACAAGACATCATGTACCAGTTTATCTGTATAAAATGTGCTGTATCTTTTCTGACAGTCATTGAATAATTTTCTCATAACAAAATGACAATTGTGATTAACATTAAGCACTGAAAGAATTTCCTTTTAAATTTCGTCCACAGCTTGGAAGCAAAGTACAGGAAAGCAACAAATATACCAGCAATCTGGACACCATCCACACCTAATGGGAAAGCTAATGCAATTATGAAGTTGTTTCCAAAGTTTGCTGAAAAATACAAACTGCCACCTCCACCAATACTACCTCCAATCATTACGATAGTATTTGATGCCATCAAGTCACCAGAAGTAAATGAGATGATGCAAAATTATCAAGATGAAGTCATCATAACAGGATATTTTACTGGATCTGATCCCTCCAGTGCTAAGAAGTTTGCAACATCTCAAGAACAATATGATCAACGACAGTGCAAACAAGAGTATGTATTACTGTATTACTTTATATCTGTTACATGTAATGTCATATGTTAGAAAGGGTCTTTCATATAATACAGAAACAGCCCACACAAGCACAGTCTTCTTTCCATATCTCTAATCTTTTGAATGAACAACTCAACAATATACAAAGTCCAGATGTAAACAGCAAATTTGATGTTCTTGTATCAATGCCTATACAGACTTTGTTCTGGTACGTATTTTCCCTTGTTTAAATTATTTATATTTTTATTCCAAACACAATAGGTTGAAAGCCATGTACCCTAATAAACATACAATAAAAATGCAAAAATAACAAAACAATGATTCTCAATAACTTTTTAATTTGAAAAAGGGGGTTGAGAAGAGTATTTGGACCTAAGCCACAGGAAGTAAGAGCAGGCTAGAGAAAACTACAAAATAAGGAGTTTTATAATTCACCAAATATTTTAGGATAATCAATTCAAACAGCAGAAGAGAGACATAGCATGTGGACATACACACACACAGTAAAATCTTTCTATAGATAAAAATGTCTCGTATCATAACTCTCATTAACATGTTAATTATAATTATGATTTCTGATTAATGCATTAAAGTTACAAAACAATAAATTTCTTTCTTTCTTTTTATATGTAAGTGGTGAAACACTAGTCCTCGTAGTAAGTCGCAAACGAAGTGATCCTCTTCTGTCATTCTGTCAGCTGGGACCAATATATATCAGTGATAATGTTGATGATGGTAAGAAAGACTATGAGGCATTCTTCCCAGAGGATGTGGAAGAAAAGGAAGAATTTCCACCTGATAAGCCTGAAAAGAAAAGTAAACTGTCAGCAACAGAACCACAATATGGTGGAACAGGAGATGAAGTATCATACACAAAAGGAGAAAAGTTTGCACCAGCATGCAATGAGGTTTGCGGTTTATCTTCCGCATTTGAACAAATATCACCATTAGAAGTACGTGATCAACACACACCTGCAGAATATGCTAAACCATATACAGAAGAAACAGAAAAATAAGAGGGTTAAATATCAACAAGCCTTGTTATATCTGAAGAACTACAATAAGGAAAAAATGTACAGTACAGCAGGAGATGATCAAGAACTGTCATGCAGCATTATGCATGTAAAGTGAATTATCACATTTAAACTTTAATAAACACAATCAAATTCAGTCATCTAATGCATCACGATCACTATGCTCATCAATTGGTTCCAAATTTAACTTTTCATTAGTAGCAGTCATATCATCACCTCATAGCTTCTTCTTAACAGATTCCCAGTTGTGTGACGAAAGTGGTATTCTTAGCAAGGATCTCCATTGCAGTCAGCTGACTTGTCTTTCCAACAAACTGTTATCATATCAAGTCACGATTAAAGATGAAGGAAGGTCACAGTGAATTATTAGTAAGTTTGCTTTATTAAGTTTTATGTCTGCATTTAGATGGTCTCCAAGTAATATGATATATTTCATTGCTGTTGCTGTTGAGAAACGTATTTTCCTCTGCTCAGTATTTTGGCCCGTAATAGTAATACTGTACTTTGGTGTGAGCAACACTTCTTAGAATCTCATTTTCAATGGGGAAGCAGTTGCCAGAAAGGTAAAGTGGGTTATGGATTTTTTAAGTTCTGTTTATTTTCATTGACTGTTATAAATTTGTTATAAATAGCAGGAAGAATTGTTAAGCCAAAGGCTTTTGAATTCAGGAACAGCAGCACTGATTTTTCACAGTTTGAAAAGATATTTATTTGTATGATGGGAATACCCATTTTACACATATATGAAAGTGGTTCAAATATGGTATTCATGTACATCTACATTCTACAACTTTCGCATTCATTTGCTTCTAAGGTGCACATCATGTGCTGTTTAATCAAACTAATTTGTGATTGTTTTGATTTGGATTCTTTAGTCATGAAATAAGACAAGTGACAACCATAAATACCAGGTCTCCAATTTATGAGGTTACGGTCGTGCTTACATTGCGTTATTGGCCGGTGCTGTTGACGTAGGCAGGACTTGTATGCGTGAGTCACGGGCGAGTCAGTTTCGGTGCCGCTAGTAACAGCGAACTACGAATATTTCTCGTCACTAATACATGTTATTACATTAATTGTTTTTACCTTAAATCACAAAAAGAAAATATTCGACAATTTCCCAAGAAGAGCTTCTTTGAGTATTTCGAAACATGTTAACGAGATATGAAACTTGCTTGCAAGCACAAGGAAGTCACTTTGAACATCTTTTGTGATTTAAGGTAAAAACAATTAATGTAATAACATGTATTAGTGACGAGAAATATTCGTAGTTCGCTGTTACTAGCGGCACCGAAACTGACTCGCCCGTGACTCACGCATACAAGTCCTGCCTACGTCAACAGCACCGGCCAATAACGCAATGTAAGCACGACCGTAACCTCATAAATTGGAGACCTGGTATTTATGGTTGTCACTTGTCTTATTTCATGACTAAAGAATCCAAATCAAAACAATCACAAATTAGTTTGATTAAACAGCACATGATGTGCACCTTAGAAGCAAATGAATGCGAAAGTTGTAGAATGTAGATGTACATGAATACCATATTTGAACCACTTTCATATATGTGTAAAATGGGTATTCCCATCATACAAATAAATATCTTTTCAAACTGTGAAAAATCAGTGCTGCTGTTCCTGAATTCAAAAGCCTTTGGCTTAACAATTCTTCCTGCTATTTATAACAAATTTATAACAGTCAATGAAAATAAACAGAACTTAAAAAATCCATAACCCACTTTACCTTTCTGGCAACTGCTTCCCCATTGAAAATGAGATTCTAAGAAGTGTTGCTCACACCAAAGTACAGTATTACTATTACGGGCCAAAATACTGAGCAGAGGAAAATACGTTTCTCAACAGCAACAGCAATGAAATATATCATATTACTTGGAGACCATCTAAATGCAGACATAAAACTTAATAAAGCAAACTTACTAATAATTCACTGTGACCTTCCTTCATCTTTAATCGTGACTTGATATGATAACAGTTTGTTGGAAAGACAAGTCAGCTGACTGCAATGGAGATCCTTGCTAAGAATACCACTTTCGTCACACAACTGGGAATCTGTTAAGAAGAAAACCAATCAATTATAAACACACAAAATACTTCCTGTTAGTCCTGTGTAGTACACTAAAAGAGTATTTTATCACACTGTTATTTAATGTCACCAGGCATAAAGTTATATGGGAACAAAGAAGACAAAAATTAAACACACCAATTTATGTTTATACACATTCTGATCTGGGGAGAGAACAACACAGAATACCATTAACATCCATCAATTTTCCACAGAGTAAGTAGTAAAAAGATTTAAACCATAACTACAGATTAAGCAATGTCATAACACTGTAGTTAATCTGATTCAGCAGTAATTTTGAACAGCAATAAGCAGCATATAAAAATTTATTACAGTGTGCAGTTTCCTGAATATGCAAGATGAAGACTGTCTTCTGAGATATTGCACCATGAAGTTTGACAAAAACTGACTGATGTTTCAGAAGTGCTTACTGCCTCCATTATCACTCACTGACCTGATTCCAAAGGCAGTAATCACCTCCCAAACATCAAACAGATTCTACCACACTACATGGTGGTATGTCCAAAATGACAGTCATCTTCATGCTTGCTGTTGTGAGAACCCAAAATCCCAACCAGAATCAAAATGAACAGTCAAACTGACAGGCTACAGTACTCTTAAGCAGTAAACAGGAAGACAGAATCACAGGAATCATGGGTGTTAGGTATTCTTTAAGCAGCACTATTCATAATTCCTCCAGGAACATTTCTTGGATTGCCCTGTAGTTCCTTGTCGTCTATTACAATTTGTTGATATTACAGTTTTGTGCTCACTTTATTGGCTGCCATTGCTATCTATACATTTAGAAGTACTTATACAAAATTACTTCTACATTTTTATAAGTGTTAGCCCCAGACCAGGAATGTGAGGTAAATGATTGTTTGAAACAGAAAGTAATTCAATGACACAGTCAGGCATTAAATACTACTTGGAACTAAATATAATGATGATCACTAAGCATGTCTTCTTCTGGAATTTCCAAGAATGGTAATAAGGTGACATGTCCTTCAGTTTAACATTCTGATATATAATTGTGGATATAGTCACAATTAAAGCAATGTATATATTCATGTACTGTTACCTACATATATCATTATATAAAGTTAATCTCTGATTGCAATAAAGCTGTGAAGCAACCTTTAACATTACAAATATATACATACCTGAAGAATCGGGTGAAACAAAAGGAAAAATTGGAAAAGCACTGCAGTGTAGGACAGTCCGTACTTTGTATTTATCCCCGTCAGAAGTGAGCTGCATACATGAGCTGGAATATTTGCTGGCAATACAATGTTGATAACAATTAGACTGGGCAGGATATGGCATTGTTTTTAGTCTTTTTCATCAGTTATTGTAAGAATATAACAACAATGATTTGCATAGCTGTCATGCAGAAATTTCTCATCACATTACAAAAAAGAATTTCACATTAAATTTCCATACATGTCTATAATCTCTTTTTATACTAAATTTAATCTAACTGCATATAATTCATGTTTTTTTAACTGAAAAACATTTCATATGTTAATTATTTTATTTTTGAATACCACATTCTGACAACAAGGGTGACATATCCATCTTGAAAATGTTTGGCACATTTCTGGAATAAGCAAAAACAAAGATTTAAAAAAAATGTGGTGTCAGACTTCTAATTGTATAATATTAAGAGCAAGAAAATGGAAACTGGCCAATTCATTCAAAGCTTATTAGGAACATTTATAAAGGTTTTATAAGAATCTTGGAAACCAGATTAAAGGCATTAATAAACTCAATTTGTCACCTTGTAATGAGGCACTGTAGTTCCTTCATGGAAACTGGTGCTTGGAACTTTATGTTGTCTACTTCCAACAGTTTTGAGAATGATTCAACCTAAAAACATATCACAAGTTGCACTGTATACACAACTATGCTGAAGAATTAATGAATTTGAGATGCTCGTCTATCACACTTCCTCAGTTTTCAATACATACTGTGCTACTACTTTCTTGGCACTAACACAAAGATGTGCAAAGAACTTAAACATACCTACACTTTCTAAACAAAGAATTCAGTCAAACTTACAAGTCTGGCTGAATCATATAACTAATCACCTATAATTTCTCTCCTTCACTTTATATACCTACCTCTACTTATTCAATGAGAATCATCGGAAATAATCTGACAACTGCACTGACCAGAACCTAAGGCATGCCTTTATTGATTTATCAAACTGCTGTATGTACTGATTAAAGACCTCATGTACCTACTGAGGTACTGAACATCAGCAAAGATAAAACAATCATTACATCCTGTGACTACATCACCCCTGCTGCAGATAAAGTACACCTAAATCCCCATATCCTGACATCTAGTAATAGAGACAAAACCAAAAACTTAGGGTAAAAATGGCCCAAGTAGGTACCTACCTACCTACCTACCGAAGAAGAGGTAACAAGACAAGAAACATGGATAATACAGTTACAGTATGTGTCCCACTGAAAGGACAATGATTATAAATGGTATGCCCAATGTGAGGTATTATAATCACTGAATTTGGACAGTTATAGTAATTCTCACTTACCTGTGTCTGAAAATTGCTCAGACCAAAAGTTGCGAGTGATTGCAAGCTGCTCACAGAAAACTTCATTTGAGATTCAGCCAGAAGAAGAATTTCCAATGTAACTTGAAGCCTGCCTAAAACATCAAGCTTCTTGCACACTTCATTCAATCTGGAAAATGCATTTTCATAGATTATGTACATGTTGTTAACTCTCAAATTATAACTGCAAAACTTGTTCTGATGTAAAAAGGACTATGGTTTTGCTTTGAAAAACTACTACATGGAAAGAAAAATTATTACAGAAAATAAAGTAATGAAGGAAGTATTATACTTATATAGATTAGTACTTCTTAAATAATGGTCTATGGATATGCTGACCACACACTGCCTATCTGTAAATTCTAGTTAGTGTTATAAACATTTTATGAGAAATGGAAAATTGCTGTTTGAGGTGTGACAACACAAGTGGTGAGAAAAAAATATCAAGTTTCAAGGTAGCTGCATGCCTCAAAAATGGGATAGCAGAGGGCCATTTTACCAATCACAAACCCCAATTCATGGAAGACAGAAGTATCTGACCAACTGGTCCATATTCTTTGGTGCACAAGTTTTAATTTTAAATATTCAGTATGGGTGATTATAAATCTCCTTAATTTAATATCATGTAAAGATATTAATTATGAAAATAAACATGTTACATGAGATATGTTCTCATGGCAGTGAAGATATCAACTTTAGTCTTCTGGGCAGCAACAATATATAGATAGACTTGAAGGTAACCAATGTTTACATAGATACAAATGTTTTGGAGGCTACCTATAAGTCTGCAAAGTAATACTACCCAAAAGACCAGCACTAGCATGTCTATAAGTGCTAGCAATAATATTATTTGTAATACAAAATGTAAGACAGAAAAAAAGCTGTCCCACTATACATCATGTAGATGCTTGGGGAGAGAGGAGTTATAGCTCCTACTCATTCTTAACCTTCGCACTAGATGGGGGTGAGTGGTCAGCGTCATGCCCTGGTCACACTTTACCCCCAGGAAAGACCCCAATACCCACTGGATACGATGGGGTGAGCCCCAGAGCCGGTCTGGATGCAGAGACTACAGGAAAAATCCTATGCCTCGGTCGGGAATCAAACCCTGGTAGTCCAGTCTATAAGCAGTTTACTGACTGAGCTACCCCAGCTCTTACCATTTCTTACAAAATGTAACAGGATACCAAAGTTTTTTAAAAAAAAAAATTGGTTTCAACAGTCTGTAAATCAAACAATAAGTACTGATACTAGATAAATATGTGACACATAAATACTGTAAAGACTTTACATAAACTGGCTAAATAAAAAATTAGATTAGTTCAATAGTATCATCAGTATCTGTTTTTATATAAAATAGGATACTGATTATGGCTATGATGTGTGTGTGCATTAAGCATGACTGACCAAGTTTTAGTAACAATCCTAGATGGCAGAATGTTCTATTTTATAAGTGCTACTACCAGCAGACAGGTTTCAGAAGTACTTGCAAAGGAGAGAGAGAAAAAAGAAAGGAATGAAGGTATGAAAGCTTTCCCCACTAAATTTCAACAGAACTTCCCATTATTAACAGATAAATGTTGGACATGTGATATACATATGTAGATGTAATTTATGCGTTAATGATCAACAGCCATGTATATTATATCTCTTATACTGGATCACTGGAAAAGAACTAGACTAAAACTGAATATCATTTAGATACCTACAGGATTTCAAATGGTACTCACATCAAGATCACTTGTAAACTTTTCTTAATTTCTCCACATTTCTGAAATTAACATTCCTGGTTGGTTTTGTTTTGAATTTACAAGTTCTTTTTCAGTGATCCAGTATAACAGCAACACATGGTTGCCAGAAATCAATTCATGTCATACCATTTATATATTTTTATTATATATCCAGCATCATTTGTCATACTTAAGAAATATTATTCTTCTAATTATTTTGTTTTTCCATCTTATATATTATTTACACTACAAATTCTGCCATAGCATCTTACGTACTTCAGATATGTGGCAAAAGTATGATGTGTCCATATTGAAACATGTTTAGAAAATCTCATCTCATGACTGAAACAAATGTCTTGTCTATAAATTTATAACATAATACAAATTCTGCTATTCTGATTAGGCCACATCTTACCAGATTAGTACTCTATTTCTGTCAAACAAACACATCATGCTAATGATCTGAGACAATGCAGGTAGTTTAGCTGATAACACCTTGTATTTGTATAAGTATGATACCTAATTATTAACTATGTAGAATTTTACTTACTCATTTATATTACAAGAGGGCAATTTCAACTGCTCTAAAGTTGCTACACCAGAACTTAAGAAAATATGTGTATAATCCTTTGATATTTTTTCCAGTCCAATCTCAATCAGTAATTCTACTGATCTGATCCCACTTATCTCAGGTAGTGACAAACTACCACGCATCAGCTCTCTGAGAATATGAGCAATTCTGGTAGGGTTCTTAGGGTGTACCTAGAAAGCAAGAAGAAGAAAATAAGCTCCAAACAGAAACCATAGCATATAAGCCTGGTACACCAAATCACATTGAATTCACTCATCTCACTCCATGGTGGAGTCTTCTTCAGCCTGTCTAAGGTTAACCTTAGACAGGGTCTGCTGGAGAAATCCAAATTGGCCCAATATGCGTATGAAGAAGATCATCATATCTGTTGGGGTAGAGCCAGGGTGATACTAACTGAACCTAATACCATCTACAGAAAATACAAGGATACGGCACACATGGCGCTACTAGCCAATCCCATTAGCCAGCCTAGTCTGGGTACGTCTCACATTTGGATTCTTGTCATCTCGGAAGAGGTCAAAGTGGTGCAGCATGGTTCAACTTAATGTTTTTATGAAGTTTTCCCACCTTTTGTGAGTCCTTGTTTTTACTTGAGCCTTTGGAATTTTGCTCGTTAAACTATATGATCTTCAACAATTTCCTATTTTATTCAATTTCTCTCATTGTCAGTTGTTGTTTTTCTTTTTTTTCTATCTTTCTTTCTTCTTACTTTGCTGGACTTTGGTTGTACTGTACTTCCATCATAAGTGCCAAACTCTTACATTTGTTTTATAATTTTTTTGGAGAATGTTTTTCTTTTTACATGCCACGGATGTATGTTGTTCTGATCGGCTTATATTCTGGGACTTTCACTTTTGCCTTGTCCAGAGATAGGGATTAGCTATATTGATTGGGCTCAACTGAGTAGGTACACCTGAAGATGGAGATAGAGTCCCTTCTGCGAAACGTCGTGCAATTTTATGATTTTATTAGACGATGAAAAACATCCAGAAAACTTTTTATTTTAAGTAAGGAAGTTGTCTCAACTGTGAGTAGCCATAAATTAATATGCATGTAGGAAGATACAATAACACCTCTACTCAACAGAAACTTCCACATAACAAAGACCAGATCACAGCAGACCACAGCGAGATAAAACTCATATTCATAAATATTTCAATTGGTATATAAATGATTATAATATGACAAAGTCCAAACCTAAAGTATGCTCAATATCTCAGTATCACAAGCATAAATGTCATTAAATTTTTATATAATTTATTCAATCATTTACTTACAAACAATTTTGCATCTCCAGACTGTACTTCTTGAAATACAAGCAACAAACATTTGGCCAAGTTCACAGAGTCCCTGCAATCTGATTAAAAACCAATTAATATATGTGTGGGTGTGTTTATTTACTTCACAGTGTCTCATATTTTCTAACAAATCTAAACATATGACGTGATGAGATATCACTTACTGACGCCCCATGGTTGGACAACCAAAGATAATTTTAACTTATCAGGGTTATTAAAACTTCCCATCTGTGAATATCTTTGCAAATTTATTTAGTTTTGAATTTATCTGTTCAGCTTTTAAAAATATTTTAAAAATAATGGATCTTCATTCAGTACCAGGAATAGAGGGAGACATCTACTCGGTTTGATCTGACAGACCAAGCTATTCCCAGTAAAATAAACAGGAAAACTAACTACCAAAAAGTTACAGGGAGTACCTTCTAGACAATAAGGGGGTGGGTAAACATGGCCATTTTGTTCTTGACCACACATTTTCCATATTTTTACCTTTAAAACCACTTGCATATTTCTGCTTCTGATAAAGCATTTTCTTCAAAGCCCAATCATAACATGCTGTTTCAGAAGTTGTTTTACCAAGGTTGAACAGAACTTTACACAAATTCATTGCATCTCTAGAACTGTTAATTTAAAACAAACATCATGAAACATGGTGACTGATATGAAGATGGCTGTCTACTACCTCCATCATCAGAGTGATCATCCTGATGATGTAAGCAACAAGCACCTCTATAATTTTAGTACTTCTACCAGACTACATGGCACAATAACCCAGAAGACAGCCATCTTCATGTTTAAGGCCATAAGAACCTGCAATCTCACATGGTGACTGATACAACATAGAATGGCATATACCAGGCAAATTACTCACAAAAGTATATTCTATTATTACCTAACTGGGAAAGTCATACTCTATCAGTAACACTGTTACAGAAGCACTCTCATTCATCCTAACTAAATCAGTGTTACAGAAGGTAAATAAATATTCATATTCTTTATGGCTTACTTTCATTTATACATAAATGTGCATGTGTATTAATGAAAGGGTTAATGGTATAAATGAATGTTTTGCCCTTTTCAACTTTTTACTTCTAATACAGATTTAAATCAACACTAATTTCAAGTACTATTATGTACTTACTTGCAAGTAACAAAAACAGATGATGTACAAAGTCCAGATAGAGTGTTGACTTGCTAGAAACAGCTTGTTGAACTAATTGATTTAGAGGCATTGCAGTTGCAGGTTTCTGTGAATATGAAATACCCAAAAAACAGTTAAAGTAGTAGCATAATGGATAAGAAACTGATTGGGAAATCATCTGTTTTCTTCAGTACTACAAACTGCAATAGAATAAGACTGTGTCTGGTGCAGGTTCTGAATAATCAGTATGAGTAAATATTATGACACAATGGAAACAGGAAAAATGCACTTCATGCACTCACAGATCTCAAAAATCTATGTAACCCATATGCATATACACTATAACACCAAAAAGGGGCAAAATGAAGGTGAGATTTCATGCACTCACAGACTTCATTCCTTAGCACAATATGTCACACAGTTCCTATGATAGAAAGAATGGAAAACAACATACTTATTTAAATGAAAAACAGTAATACCTGCAAAAAGAATTGGATAAGCCTACATCTTCTATTTTGTTATAAAGAAATTAAAGAAATACTTTTCTTGCAATGAATCAACTTCTTTGCTGTGGTTTCAGCCAACAGATCAGAACTGAAGCCAGAGGTTGTAGTAGTACGTCAACTGATCACACATCAGTGATGAGTGTAATAAAATTATGACTGGCAGGAGAAAACAAAAGAACTGAGAGAAATATGCCCCAGTACAACTTTATTTGCCATAAATACCATGTGGACTGCCTTGGGATTAAACTCTTGCCCACATATTCAACATAAGAATTCATGATCAGTTGCTTGTATCTTTAACTCATAAATGCAGCAAAAACATAAGAAAAATTCTTGTATATAAGTTAGTAACACTGAGTCAGGGGACAAGGTCCCATAGATACACAGAATAAATAATATTTTATTCATGTAACAAACTTCCAGATTCCAACATATTACTCTCTTACCTCTCCATAAAATGTAGTGCCTTGGTATTTCACACCAATGTAATCCATCTCATGTAGCAGGCTAATTACATCAGTAGTTTCTGTTCTAGCACTGTTCCCATTACCATATTCTAACCCAGGCAGATCTATACAGCCACTCTCCTGCTTCTCTTTAGATACTGCCAGCACAGTAACAAGCTGGTGCAGTAGCTTCAACTGTTTCCACAACTCATATGCTGCACTGGTTGGTTGCCCAACCACAATAAGCATTTCCTACAAAATCAAGCACTTATGACATACAACACCAAAGGAATAAAAAATTAACACTTGATAATTACAACCATCCCTTGCACAAACCATTGTACCTTCTTTGTCTGGGTTCTCATAGTCCTCGGAGAAAACGGGGGCTACAGCATGGCCGTCCACTTCTCAGTTGGAGGACAAGACTCATCTAGGGTTAACATGACTTTTGGAACAGGAAAGATATCACCAAAATATATGGACTGTCCATGGATGACCAAGGTATGTGTGTTAACTCAAAAAACTATAGTTGCACTGGCAAGTTTAGTAAGGTAAATATATATGTGTACAGAAGCATTATGTTACAAAACAAAGTATAATATGTACTTGAATACTAACTTAAAACAATTCTTATAAATCTTCACTGTGTGGTGAAATCAGCCTTGTGTTTACTGTACAGTTACAGTACAATTAAAAAATCACTTTAAAAGCAACTTCTACTACCTGTGCTTACTACAACTACAGTATACTGCTGCATTATTACATTGACTCAGTGGGATCACATTTGATAATACTGTTAATTTTACTTACAAAATTAGAGTTTAACCAGCATAAAAATGTCTTCATTGCTCTCAGTATAACAGCATATATAAACAGCTCTATTCTCAAAATTAAAGTATTTAATTTAATTACTCTAATAAATTCTTACCACAACAGCATTTGCATACAGTGGAGGTGAGGCCACAAGGGATGAACTAGACCATGACAGATGAACTGATATATTGCACTGTGCAGACTTTCCAAAGTGGCCTGTAGAACTTAGAATGTTATACACTTGTGTCGTAAGAATTTTCACCTGGAAGCAGTATAGACAACATTATGAAATAAAAATAAATAATGTATAAATTATAAAATGACTATAAGAAAACTGCATACAGAAGGGATGAGCAACCTCCAGTACATGAGGGTAAACTTAAAAAGCTCAAACCACAAGAACATATATGTTACAGAACAAAGTTTTAAATTGTATTTTCAATTTTAAAAATACACAAACAAATATACCTTACTGTTTTAATTGTGTGAAAGAATGTCATTTAAATTGTTTGTATTACTATGAAACTATTATTATGAAAAACTATAAGGATACTAATAAAAATTTTAAAAAATCATTCAGAAAAAATCTCCTTTCACAATATGGTGTTCCATTACCAACCAAGGCGAGGATGAAACTTAGGGCGACAAAAACCAACAATGGGCAGACCAAGACCATTCATACAAACAGGGTTTAATGACTATAAAACTAACGATGATGACAGATAAAATTGTTCTTTCAGACCTTATCCATCAAATGAATTATAAAATTAAAATATTTTGTAATTTAGATTCTAGTTTCATCAGGTAAACAGGGGGAAAAGGACAGAAAACCTATTACAAAAATGTATGTACACCGTACAAAACACTCCTGCACACTGTAGATTGCAACCTCCCCTCTATAGGATTTCATTATAAGCTGTATTCATCCTAAAAGAATAAGGGGTGGAGAATTTCTCTGGAATGTGACATGTCTTTTGAATCTAATACTGATATTTTTACATCCTGTTGTTTGCAACAAAGCATTCCTATACTAGTAATATAAATGTATGATGTGAATATTAGTAATATAAATTTCCAAACCTCACATCCTGGAATTCTAGATATGGAAAGGTGTTCTTTCCTCACATTAACTGCATATTCTTCAGCCTGTGTGTAACTCCAGTGCCCCAACAATTTCACAGAGTTACGAGTCACCCAGCCACTCTTTCTGTCACAGAATGTTGATAGCAAAATGCTTTGCTGATAATCTGAACCATCACACACTACCCAAATAGGCACTTTCCAATGGTGTGTATGCAGATTGCATAGACTTAGTATCTTCCTAGAAACACAGACACAATTAACACTGTGGGAAAGGGCTGATTGTAGGTTTTCATCCTGCTATCTTATGGCAAAATTGGATGATGTTAGGTCAAGTATAAATTATGACACTCCTCAAATACAAATCTAACGTACTATAAACTTGTTTCTTCCCACATTTATCACTGCCAATGGAATCTATTGTTTCTATGATAAGTTTCAATAAGTTCTGCAGATAAATTTCTCTGGTGGCAGTTATGATTATGAATGTTAACCTAAAATGGTTTAGCATCCAAACACATTTAGACAGCAGTACAGCATATCATAGCAAATTCAAATGGACACTGCCAAATTAATATGATAAAATGTAGAAACTGTAAGGTAATTAAAACACTGTTCTGCATCAGATATATTTTATAAGAAATGCAATAAAATTCAATGGCAAAGATGTTTCTTTAGTATATAATTCAATAATAAATATACAGTCCACAAGCATTCCTAACTACAGGATGATTTTATTAAAAAGTTATGAAATATATACAATCCAGATAACAATGTATGATCTTAGCAATACAAACCTGGCTTTAATTACAGAGAGTGAGCCTTGACTCTCTTCATCTTTCTGCCAGTTTTTTATTGGTTCACTAATAAATGTGTCATCAACATCATAATCACAGGAAATGAATGGGAATGCCAAAGGAGAACCTGTCAGATCCAAGTCTGGAAGATGTAAATAAAATTGTATTATTTAAATTTCCACCTGCATTAGACTGCAAAATAACAACTTATCTCCACTTCACCACCTCACATTATGCTCCTCCCACAGTTCAACAATTTTAACTAAACACAAGATTTTCAGTGGACTGAAAGTTGACACGAAAAAGCATAATAACCCAAATAGTTATGGTTAAGCATGATGATCTGAACATAATGCAGAGAAGAGTTATAAATATCCACACTTGGTTACAGATTATATACAACTGTAACTGAAATTCAGTGGTAGGTTATAAAACTAGTAGAATATGCATTATATCTACCAGCTTCTTATAAATATATCACAAATGTCACCAGCTCATACCCACTATACAACATGAACACCTGCAAAATCAATCTATGATCTAAAAAATATTCACATATTTAAATAAAATAGAGAGTTCTGAGAATAAGGCAGACGAGAAACCAATTCTACATTAGAAATATGAACAGAAATGTTATATGTCTGTCCCATCAACTTGTTCCAGTAAGGTCCATTACAATCACCCTGGGGAATGAAAACAAAGACACTTTGTATGCATACTAAAGGTACAATGTGTGTGCATACATACACACACATTACTTTATTTGAACAGTATTTCCAAAGAATTTGCTGGAAATTTTTACACTATGATATTATTCTGTCTTTTGGTGATTAAATATGAACTTTATGTTGTATACATTATAATCGGAATCTGAAATTTTCTTCTGAAGAATTATGGCTTTCAGCCTGTATTCTACTCATGAAATTTGAATTTTACATTCATGTATGCTGTTATCAGAAATATTCAGAAGTAAGTTTCTTATATCTAGAACATCCAAACTAATCTAAAAACAAAATACTACATTCAATTAAAAAACTCTAAAATGTTTTCTTACCTACACTACAGTCTGGTGCTGAGACTCCATTTGTTGTTACGTTCCTCTTTGCCTGCACACAGAATGACCTCAGATATTAAACTATATATCAGCAAAATTAATGCAAGCATAAAAAATACACAGAAGCATTGGCACTCTAAATGCTTAAAGTATTGTCCAACAACTCATATTCTGAAAATGGCTATCTTCAGACTCACTGCCGTGAAAACCTTAAATCCAACTTTTATTCTGTTTAACCTATACATCTTTAAGATACAGCTTAACACAAGACATATGAATCTTCAGTTGTCAAAATATAAACAAAAATAATACATTTTCTACATATGCAAATATATTTAGAATTGTAACACTGCATTCATGTGCATTTATATCTCCTGGTGCCTAATCCAAACAAACTTAAGTGGTAATACCATATATAACCTACCAATTTCTTGTACACAAGTACTATACTGTCATCGACAGACTCATTTAGAAACAGCTTAATATAAGATGGAGCTGTCTGAAGCTGAATTTCAATGGAACGATCTTTTATCAAATTCCTGATAACCATATCTTCATCCATTTTAAGAATCTTCTGCATGATAGTACATCAAGACCTTCCTTTACTTGTAATTAAAGTACTAACTATGCCACCTCCTTGTTTTTATAGTTTAATTTAGATTTTGCAGTTAAGAATAAAAGAATAACTTTTTACAAACAAAATAAAAACACAACATATGAAGCACGCGTTACCTACATACATAATAAAAATGAATGAAGACACTCGAAGAATCCCGCTAAAATGTCTTTTTCCGGTTCCACTTGTACGTGCCAATGTTCAGCATGCTTACGGAACCAACGTTTATAATTAACAAAACGCAACCTCTAGGGTTTACTTTCGGAAGGAAATAGTGACGAACAGACGACTCACATGAATTGGGAATGTCTTAGAAAAAGAAAAGAAGAGGGGTTAAGGGAACAATTGAATGAAAAGTAACAAATTCCATTATGGTGAGAACGAAGTTGGCAGTACCTATCACCACACCACCAAATGTAACTTCCTGACTACAGGTTTTGTTCGTTCGACCCGTTCCAAAGTTAAACAGACTCTTAACAGCATTACATTCGTAGTGTTAGTAAATCCCGCTTTCCTCGGGGTTTATAGTTAAGAACTCTTATTGGTAACGTGTAGTCGTTAAACTGGCTACCTTCTTTTAGTGTTCTTTAATGCCAACGGTGAATATGTTAACCTCAAAGTCTTTGCAGCTTTACTTCGCTGTTGGTCCTTTCAATCCTCCCACGAATGTCACTTGCACTGCTTCTACCGTCTGTTTACATGTTCCTATAGGCCTAACATTTGCTTCAAACTACTAAGTTCATTTAAGAAACCACATGAGTACTTGGACTATCTTTTGCTTATCTCCACTACCCCATTTTCATCACATTTCTTTTTCTGAACACATACTCTTCTATAGTAAAAATTACAATTTACTACAATTTTTGCTCTTATGTACTTCCGTCACTAACAATTTGATTTCATTTCTAAAATCTTTATATCAGGATTCAATTTTGTTCAAACTAAAAACCTATTTCTGTAAATGTCTTTTTCTGTTAATAACACCTGGTAATCAGCATATGTAACTGTACATAATGGTGAGTCTGCATGTTTTTGACTTTTTTCCTTGTCACTGTGGTTCATTCAAAAAATCCTACAGGGAATACATGCTGTTGCATCCTGCCTTTCATGCACCATAAAATCATTAATTTGTAGTGTGTATGGAACGTTTTTCTTTAATTATATTATACTGTGATGGAGCTCCACATAAACTCATCACCCCTGCACATCATAGGACTAGCCCTACAAACATAAATTACATTTGTAATGCCAATGCCAATCTTAAAATAATTTTACATGGTTCATGAAGGACATACTGAGAAATTAATACTTCTGGATTGCACGTGTTCAATAATTATTTGTGCATACTCTATTTCATTATACTGAAAAATGGAAAGGTGGTCTTATTTTACACAGGTTATCTTCATGTAGGTTGTATTGTTTATTTCACAGGAATACATATTAATACAACATAACTGTACTCTTAACATAAACATAAGGCTTTATTTCTCTTCTGATACCTGTACTTCTGTGATCCCATATACTCCTGCCAATAAACGACCATAGTTTAGTGGCACTGGTTGTTTAGGTGCCACATATGGCCCATGTTCACCCGCATATACATAGCTATAGAAAAGGTTAAGGACAACAAAGCCCTACAAGCATTAAAGACAGAGACAAACAAACAAACTTACTTCATTTACATAAGTAAACCCAAGACACTATTTATAATAAAGTTTTTCTTAATTCACATATCTATTGCTTTAATAATGGGTTTGAAGCAGAAGTACTTTTGATTAAATTAAAATGCAACCTGTATTAATAATAAGACATTCACACCAGTTCCATAATTATGTGTGTTGTAATCAGTAACAATATAATATAATACAATACAAATTGCCTCTGGACACATATGCATGTGATCATGGGATCAAATCCTGGTCAAGTCAATTTTCTGTTTCATGCAGCCACCATGCTATTACTTTATATTATTCAAAGAATTACTTACCAAAACTGTGTACTTTTCAAAAATCTATTATCACACATCACTTTATAATCCTATAATAAGCAGTGCTAATGTCAATCCCACCTCACAAGTTCATTTGTCTGCCATGTTTGTATTACTAATTGTAGGAAATTAGGCTAGACCTTATACCAAACTTCATCCAAAGCCATCTAGTGGTTCTTGAGTTTAATAATGCAGACAGATTTACAAACATGGTCATCTTGTATGTGCACATCATGTGAAGAATGCATAAATTTATCCTTGAAATGGAGAAGTGTTGTATTTTCTTTGAGGTACAGACTAAATTCTTAAATAATGTATAGATTGAGATTGATGTACACATCACAGAAAACTATAATATAAAAGGATACGGAAGACGAAGAACCCAATATGCACTCTGTGAGAGTTTCAAAGGCTGCTCACAACCTGTAACAAATACTGGGCAGGGTGATGGAGCTGGCTGTACTCGGGGATTCAGTGTAACGTGTATCGGTGCTTTTGGTGTTACAACATGTATGCGCATTAGTTGTGCTACCAATGGCTTTGCATTCCTGTGGAGAAAAATATCGGTAAAATAAGATCATAAAATACCCTGTATTGTGTACTCTTGCTAGAATCAAAACAATAACAACCTCAGACTATTTTAAACAAACTCTGTTGATGTACAAATAACATGGAGTTTGAGGCAGAATTCATACAACATACTTTCCTGCTGCAAAGAGCTTCAATCCTACATATCTTCTTATGTTGTTAATAGCACACTTAGGTAATATACATTCATTTTTTTTGTCTTATTGTTTTGTTCTGTGTCATTGTTTTGTTGTGTCTTATTGTAGGACCACTGCCACCAGGTAAAAACCCATTTGCAGTCAAATAAATAATAATAATAATTCAACAAAATGCAATTTAACTCACAGGACTCATGGAACAGTTATCAAAGAACAGAGTCCAACTCAAGCCAGAATCATTTCACAGATTCTGATTTTGAACAAAGTACAGACAATGATGAATTTTCTTATTATTATCTACTTAAGATAAAATCTATTGTTGCACAGACATAAACTGCACTGGATCATATGTTACTCTGCCTTGCATTTTATTAAATGCAGGCTTACATCACATCAAAAAATATTTCAAAATAAATTTGTACATTTTAATAAGCTGGTTATTTTTTCATACCCTAGTTATTTACATGATGAATCCTTTTTGGAAAAATTTATAAAGTCTGATTTGAGTTTTGTGTTAAGTAATACTGAACTCATAAACACCAAAATGAAATTTGCCTGCCAACTTTAAGCGTAAGCACAAATACAAAATTTAATAAAAATCCATTCAATAGTTTCATAGATAAAATGTATGACTGGATGGACATATGCACTATCAACAATGTGTTCATTTCATGAACTTCAAGTAAACAAGACATCATAGTGATAACTTTTTCAATATGTGAAAACATCTTGTAAAATCAGTTATGAGTACTGTTAACATGTAATATCTCACCTGCATGGACAGGGGAAATACAGTGACATATCATTGCTAGTCACTTTATTGCCATTGTCCTTTACCAACCCAGAACCAGTTGTCTTTAGGACTTTATCAGGAGCTGAGCACATGAAACGGTGACCTCGAGGACACTCATACTCCACACCCACAAAAATCTTCACCACAAATTCCGACAGATCTGAAATATGGACATATGTTGTTGGATGGGCTGTTACTCTCATAATTTGTTCATCACCATGTATTAGTGCAGTAAGGTTTACATATATAGGGATAGATAAAACATTTTATAAACTGCAGGACCATGCATTATCAACATCATTATCCACTGATGTTTTCACCACCTGTATGGGTCATCATATGACAAAGCCTACTGTGTTCCCTTTCACTCCCATCCATAATCACTATTTTTAAAACTATCACCACTTTATCCCTAATCTCTTCTGTATACATTAGCTCACTTGATCTTTCCACATAATCCTTCATCTCCTCAATGGTCATCTACTTGGCATTTTCATTTTTAATACTCTCAAATAAATTCTGTTGCATTCTAGCTTAACATATGTTCATATTAATGTGTATGCTGTATGCCAGTTTGGTGTTAAGTGTTTTGGTTGATGTTTGTCCACAAAGGAAATATCCAAATGTGTGCAAACCCCATAGAAAACAATGAAAGAACATAACAAATGAGCAATTAAATGTTCTCAGTAATCACACTAGATGGCAAAACACTGTGTGCAAGGGTCCAAAAAATTAGTGCAATGAGGTCCTTTTGTTTCATGGGACTTCAATGTAACATGAATAGAATAGTTTCAGTGGAATAAATACTGTGTGATGGATACTATAAGCCTTTACTATTTAAGAAGATGGATATCTTCTGGGTTATAGTCTGGTAGAAGTTTGCCAACATTTCAGAGGTCTTTGCAGCCTCCATCCTATTAATCACTACAACCCAGAAAACAGCCATCTTCATACTCACCACCATGAAAACCTCAAATTCTACTTACTATACTTTTTAATTACAATACAGGTAAACCTCGATTTACGCTGGGGATATGTTCCTGGACGAACTGGCGTAAACTGAAACTCTTTTTATAATGTAAATCAAAGGGAAGTCAATGACATTTGTTTCCAGTACCCAAATATTGACGACTTAAGTTCCTCAAAAATTGACTTCGCCTTATCCGTGATAGCAATTTCAGTCAAAGAAATGTTTTTTGATTCATGTCATCCACCCATTGCAACAGTAATTTCTCCATTCTTTCTAAAAGTTTACTTCTGCTATAACTCACTTCCGTTGCACTTACTCTCGTAGCCTATAGCATTGACTGTTTTATTTTATATGAATTTTTTATTATGGTAGTCACAGTGGGAGGCAACTTCATACTTCTGCACACATTACGACGGGGATCACCACCTTCTATTCTACGAATTACGTCCATCTTATCTTCTAACGCAATAGACCTACGCAACTTTTTAGCAACACATTCACTTCTCTTACCAGACATGGTGGCTCTTCTACAATTTATAAATATAAAACAGTTGCTATTGCAGAATAGTGGTCAAACAACAACACAAACACGTTTAGCACACAGTTTTCAGCACATTCAATGTGTCAACAAAAAGCGAACTGAGCACATTTTTCCTTACTCCCTTATCAGGCTGAATGCAAGTGACTCACCGTGAAGTGAGACCAATGCTCACGTGACTGTTTCACAATGTTGGCGGATTTTTAGGAGATTATCTCGCAACTACTTAGCAATGAGTGCAGAGGTGACTGTATTTACAATTTTTATTCAAAATCGGCTATGTACGAATTACAATTTAGTATAAGAATCAGTATGAGAAACATTGTAAAACGTTATAAATAAAAGTAAAATATATTTTTTTCACTTTTTGACTTGCTGGTTTCAAAAGCAGCGTTATTCTGAATCGGTGCAAATCGAGGTTTGCCTGTATATGGGTATAATCATGTTCATCAGAGACACTTGTAACCACCTACATGAACTACACAGTGACATAACTCAAAAGACCAAAAGACATATTTTATTCCCTTGAAAACCTCAAATATCATATAACCTTATATTTATACCTTTATTTCCGCCTTTTCCTTTACGACCACGCAAGACAGTGCCTGAATGTTGATTGGTTGCTTGCATTTTTCCCTTTGAGCCATACTGATCACCAACAGTTGGCCACCCACTTCCTCGATCCCTAAATATCAAAATGTGTTTGTTACAAAAACAAATTGACTCCCAACAAATGGCCACGCAACACAGCACACATACAAACAAGGAAATGTTTCTGAATATGTTTGCCACAACATGTGTTAAAAGGCATAATATCAGCTGCCTGTGTAGCTAGTACCTGCTCTGATGTGACACTAAGTTATTTTGGGTTCAGTCACCTGCTTAAATAGATCATTTAACCTTTAATGTACATGAAAGGTGATTTACATCCCTGTAATAAAGGGCTGCTGATCGAACAATCACCCTGTGGCTAACAGTTCAGCAGTATGCGAGTGTGATGTACATCAAGCAGGACTGCTCATAAGATACACTGTAAAATATTATATAGGTTAAATATTGCATTGTCAGAAGTGACATTTCTGCATGACAGCAAAGTATGTCACATGATGGACATTTCTCACCAACTAAAACTGAAAGGAAATAAGGTGTTCATAGCTATTGTTCCCATCACTTTTCTGCACTCCACATTAGTGATTTTTTCTTAGATTGTTTTGGACTGGATTCCGCAATGGACAGCAAAGCAGGTGTTCACAGATAAAAAATATTATTCTATGTGGCAGTGTTCAGTTCAGTGTTACATGTACACACCGTTCATACTGCGTGCAATAGATAATTTTTGTATAATAGTATTTAGTAAAGCATGTACACAGCTTCTCATATTAAGGTCCCTCTGACCCTTCTGGCCACCATTCTGTAAACTGTCAGATAATGTGAATAGTACATTCTGCAATGTGTACTTTCTTCTCTAAGATTACAGAGGCACAGAGTATAGATTAATGGTACATTTACTGACCACCTGCTTTTAACAGCTTCAGAATAAAAACTGCAAATACAGTTGATACAGTGGCAGCTAGTTAGGAATAAGCCACTATGACAAAGGTGCTGGAAAAAGCTCTCTGTTTATATGACAATTTCCAAACATGTAAAGTAAATAAATTAACAGTGCTGATTATTTTACTTGCTATAATGAAACAACATACACATATTATAAATATGATATAAAATACCTCATTAAAAACCATGACTTCTGTATTTACCATTTTGTGATCTGGCCAATATTTACTGAAATATGTCCTAAAACAAATACATACCTTGTCAAATCTGAACTAAAATGATTTTAATTCATAAACTTTAGCAAGAACTATCAACACCAAACTCAAAATGTGCTTAGACAACTAGATGAACAGAAACAGAGGAGCCAACAAGCACTCCTACACTGCTGCAAAGCACACGTTAAATCACATATAACATCATCATACCACACCTGTGATGTTCTAGTCTGACTGTAACATCCCAGGGTAAGAGGTAGGCTGAGCCACCAAGTAATCCAGCCTGTTGCTGGTCCTGGAGTCCCAAGTTATGTGAATAGAGGGATGATGGTCCCAAGCACACTAATGACCAAGATGGGAACTGTGGCAACAAACCAGCTGGTGAGTTTGCATGCAACATCCCTGGAAGGTACTCTGTAGTGCTGGGCTGTCGAACCAAGGATTTATCTAAGAAATAAACAAATAAAAGTTAAAGCTAAAAAATAAAAGATTTCTCTGTTATCAAAAATTCTGAAACACACTAATGCCAGTTACATAATATCTTATAACGGGTTACACAAAATACTGTAGCTTAGAAATCTCAGTAGACACATTGATCTAAATAACAATGTAAGATATAGGAAAATAACAACCTATCCCATAAAAATGTTGAAATATAAGGTATAATGCATTATAAGAGCACAACACAGAAATAGCAAGATGTATGTGTTGTCAATCTTTGCCATTATGCATATAATATCTTCTGATTTGTGTGCTGAGTCTCAAGAAAAGCACAAAATAACCACACTCTATAAGCTCAATAGAACCAACCCACAGACCTCAAACTCTACCATATTACTACATGCAAGTAAATAAACATGGTGATGAGCTAGCTAAATAATACAATATGAAAGTCAATGATATGTCCCACAAAAACAGGTCACTAAGTATAAGTATGGTAAACATGACTTCTGTATGTCTGAGTAAAATTATGTCTTCAAAAATTGTTATGGACTCATTCATTGGCACATCTTTCATACGAGTCTGTTCTTAAAACACAGTTTCACTTGTACATGCAGGATGTTTCATATCAGATTAATGGACAATTCAGCAGAATATCAGTGCTGCCTCCAATCAAAACCTTGATACTTTCTTCTTCTGGTCTGTCTTATATATGTTTACTAGCAGAGTATCTATTCTTCACCTGGGTTTCTCCAAACTGAAATCTCAGCCCGGAGACCGGCTATCCTGACTGGGGTTCTTTGTGGTTTTCTTTAGTCCCTCCAGGCAAATGCTGGGACAGTACCATAAATTTGGCCACAACACAAAAGCTATATAATCTGAGCTACTGCAAAAGCATCATTAGATAAACTATAAATAAATAAAATAAACCTGGGTTTCTCACAAAAATAAACTGTACTGAAATACTTAGTCATTACTTAGTATGGCAATCTTATGAACATATACATATATCCCTGCTGCCAAATTTTCTAGTATTTACCACCATAATGCAAAAATGGTAATCATTTTATGAATGATGTAATAGCCACTCAACAAACCAGCAGAGACACTGACCACTTCTGCACTACAGAAAACCAGTTACATATGTCCATCAACCAGACCAGAGATGGACAAAAACAAAAGGAAGGGAACAACGGATAACACTACACAAACAAATTGTACATATAAGGTTATCCAATTACTAAACACGAATCAATACAAAGACGATGTACATGACTACCCATTAGCTTATAAGAACACTATTAAAAAGAGCATCAATATTTACCTTTACTAGAGTCAGAATCAGCATCTGAGACTTGTATGATAATTTCATGACTAGTGTCAGGCAGGCTGTGATCACCTCGTGGTGGATTTGGACTCAAGCGACTGACAGTCTCTTCCTGTATAATATCACTGCCCATTGACTGGCCTGACACAAATCCAGCTACAACAGAAGTACATAACATAAACATGTTAGGAAATGTAGCTGCTTCATGTTTTTCTCAGGTTTAAAGTTTCTTTACTGAAATGTCATTAATGATCACAAGATTTGTAAAGGTACACCAGGTGGGGAAGAAAGCTTAGGAAAGAGGGTAAGGGTTGGAGGACTCAGATGAGTGAGGAAATTATCACTGTCCTTTTAAATACTCATCCTCTGACTTGGGTACTTAATCTCATAAGAAGAAACACTGTCCTCATGAGAAATGATCCATGGATCTCAAATCTTCCATTTCACCACATTTAAGTCAAAGTTTATACAGCAAAATTAGTTTAAATCTTGGAAGCCACTGTTAACAGCAAGTATAATAAGACTGCTCAGCAATTTACAGTTACACTCCACATATCTGTCTCACAGTTATGTGAGAGAGACGTCCTTCTATAACTGTCTTTATTCTCTTCTATGCAAGGTTCAAACCTCCTTTGTTTCAAAACTCTAATTAGTGGGTACGTTTTCAAGTAATTAGTTTACAAAGAGTCGGTGCAAAGCTGTATGCCACAATTTCTTATACCTGCAGGCTGCAACACTTCTAAAATCTAGAAAACTATTTAATAACATTGTTAAGATCTCCACATAATTTATTTCAGGGAACTTTAATGTTGAATAGGTTCCATTATAAAAAATGTATCTTATATTGTTCAGGCTATATTAAATATATATGTTCCCAACACAATGAATATCACTATAAATTTATAATTTAAATAGTAGCACTTTACAGTTTTTCATAAAAATCATCCATGAAATTTTTTATGAATGCTAATGCCATCTGCTTCAACTTGTCCAAATATCTGAATACTTTCAAACTTTATTTTACAATATATTAGAGATAAGGGAAAGTCTCTGTAGTATTGCTACATCTTCATTAGTTTTACTTCCCAGAGGTATCTGTAGTTCACTCTCACCTTCGCATCTCGGTTCTGGTTCATCTTCAGTTATCTCTAATGTATCATCATGAGTCCCTTCTGTTTGAGAAGTACAAAGCTCTCTGTTTACTGAAACAAACTCTTGAAATGTTACATTTTATTTTATCCAATTTCTTTCAATGTCTAGTTACCCGTCATTCTCAATCATCTGCATGACTCTCTTCTTCGGGACATCACCTGTAGCAGCTATTTGTTCATCAGACAAATAAAACCAACTTCTTATTGCAGTTTCCTCTTCTCAAGTCACAAAATTCAACTGCAAGAGTTGTGCTGACTCAATCACCCACTAACTCTTGCATAACATTTCCAGCCACTGAATGGCTACTGTACATTTTACAAATATAAATGGCAGGTTTAATTGTCAGTAATGAAAATGCACTTTCAAAATGAGCAGTCCATGTATCACTATATCATTCAGAATAAAATTATTCACAGAAAGCCAAATATGAAACAAGGTAAATTCTGTGACTATACTTAATAACAGACAGTAACATAAAACATTTTCATTTAATTTTTAAATAGAAAGAAAGTAAAATCTGTATCAAAGCATCTTACAATCAACTTTTAACTTACAAAATACTGACCCAATTCAAGACAAAAGGATATGAGAATTTCAAATCCACCACAAATCACGGGATATTACACCCTCAGTCTACTGGCAACTAATCAAATGTGAGCTATCAATGTTCTGACAATGATATAGAGTACCAACAACATACATTAAACAATATAGTAAAAACTTGTTTAATTTTAATAAAATCTTTTATTTAAGCAAGAAAATTTCTCTGGTTTCAAGAACTGATCCTGCAAAAGCAGAGAATCAATAGTTTTTAGTAACATTGGAGAAAAATACTAATGACATTTCTGAAGTATCACAGCAAATTCATGGAGAAGTAACAATGTGTATAATTTCTAAGTGGGTTAAACAGTTTCAAGACTGAAAGGAAGATGTTACAGATAATGAAAGGAATGACCATCCCAGGAACTTATTCAAATGGGGGAGAGGAAAAAAACAACAACAAATCAAATAATTAATCATTGATTCAATGTTTGGAAGACAGCTGAAGAACTGAACATGAAAATAGGAACTATAAGTCTTAGTTTGACCAAAGATCTAAAAATTAAAAAGAATGTGCCAAAATGGCACAGAAATGTTTCAGGAGCAAAAAAAATTTTCTCAGAATTTTCATCAAAATCACTGGAAGAACATGACATTTTGGTGAAAAAATATTACTGGTGATGAAGCTTTCTTCTCTTCCTGGATAACCTACAAATACAATACCCAATTTTCAAACACGAAAGTTCAGTTACTGAAACTGAAAATGTGTAAAAAAAATCAATTGGAAAAACTACACTGATATGCTGTCAGCTGCAAGACAATGATTTTTTAAGGCATCTGTCTTATACAGTACATCCCACAAGGAATCATGATGAATGAAGAAGCCTATACTATAGTCTTGCATTCAATATTATGTTGTGTTAGCAATAAAATGACCAGTATCATTCAATGAGACATGGCTCCTCCACCACAATAATGTCAAACTGAACACTTCTAACATTGTGCAACAAAGTACAGTGAAAATAACAGCTGAAGTGTAAACCCAAACCTGCTTTGGCACCATGCAATTCCCATTTAATCCCCAGACTAAAAGGTTTGCCACTTTTCTTTATATGATAAACTTCATGCTGCCACTTCAGAACATATGAAGCAAACACTCTCAACATTTAACCACTAGTTCATGTAATCTATCTAGCACTGGATATGCTGTATACATATCTTAGGAGAATACTCCGCAAGAGGCACTGTGCCTTAGGACAGAAGAAATGGAACATACTGTCTCAAACTGAAAACTGTGTACACCACATGAGAACAAAATTCACATAAATCCCATTCCTTACAAGCTGGTACTGTGATTCTATATACAAAATATCACAGGATGGTCATAAAAGATTTAATTTCCACATACCCAAACTGAAACCTTGTGTGTTTCCCTGCGGTGTACTAACATTTAACTCTCTTCCTTCCATTCCACGTGTCCCACCGTCTTTCCATAAAAATCCTGCAGCTGACTTGTTAGAGAACAGTTGGGCTGCCCTGTAGACAAAATGTTACAATTAAAAAACTGACAAATCAATTATTTTCTTAGCTTCCAAATTTAGAAATGGACATTACTATTTTGAAACATATAGATGACACTTATTATCCACACCTTCACTACCTGTGGTTTTATTTCAGTACCATATGAAGCATCAAAATCCCATTTGAAGCCAAATTTTAAAGCCTGTCACCTTCTCCAGGTTTATCAGGGAATATGATGCAGATGAAAAGCTTAGCATCAAATAATTCTTGTGCCAGTTTAAAAAGGTGCTTGTTACATGTTTTCCATTTTACACTTTTTTAATATATACAGCAATTCACAGGAATGTCAAATTTGATTCATACCTGTAATCTTGTGTACTTGGTTGGAACACTGGGAAATGAATGGACTCTAGATGATTACAGCCACAGTCCTCTCCTAGTACCTGATAGAAGTCATAATTGGCAGCTCGCATTGTGAATGGATCCTCTCGTGGGCCTTGCTTTCTTCCACAGTTGCATGCAGATACATAACGAACACCACTTGAATGTTCCTTCAGCGGAAGTTGAGTTCGGTCAAGACTATCAATCAATTTTAAAACTCCAATAAAGTATATTACTAAAATACACCTTTCATGGTAAATTATGAAATAGTGTTTGGTATGTTCTTCTGTACTAGTTATACAAATGGATCACAATATATGACCATGGTCACATATACAAAATACATGTAATAGAAATTATGAAGTCTTCCTCAATTAACTAGCACATATAATATTACTATAATTATGTGAAGGTGGGTCCCTATAACCAAAATAATTCTTTTACTAGCATTCTCAAATATACTGCAATACCTTAATTATGATTCATGAGGATTACAAGTCAATTTAGTCATTTCCCAACCCATATCAATTCTTCTCTCCCTCTCATTCTTTTTCACATGTAATTTCTGCACAATTCTCCTTTTTATAGTCAATATCCAATGGATACCAAGGGCTCTTTCTCCAAGGAATAAATATGCTGTAGCATGAAGATGGTTATTCAGCTTTACATCATGCCACATTCTCAAAAATGTGCTCTTCTTCCATGCTCTTTGTATGCCTTCGTGGAATGATGCTGCTTAGACAGAGAGACAAGTTTACCTTTGACTTAGCTTTAAATATCAGTGATGATGACACATCAACCCTTCATACCCTGTTTCTTTAAGATCCATTTTATAGTTTTCTGACTAAAATTTTAAGTGCACTTGTTATTTCTCCCACGCCCCAAACATTTTGACATCCTTGATTTGATTACCCTGATAATATTAAGTGAAGAATAAATTATGAAGCTCCTCATGTCTCTCTTAATTGTTATATAACATACAAATAATGATACTACTAAAAACAATAAACCTTTCGGGAGGGTCAGGATCATCAAGGGTCTTATTAGCTTCTCCCTGCAGTTCTCCACCTCCTGCCCCTTCACCACCCCCACGATGCAAGGGGTTGGTACATGGGTTTCCAGTAAGACTCAATACTTCACACATCTGATGGCCATTCTTCCAGTATTTATCACAATCTTTCTCCAACTGGGTTGTATACTGATCAAATAATGGTCCTCGTGCATGAACAGCAAACACAGACAATGCGTGGGCCAGCTACAGACACATACAAACACCAGTACTTTTAAAAAGAAAACATATTTTTTGAAAAAATGCTAAGAGAGACAAATTGTCACTTTATCCTCACCATTACTACATGGCTAATCGCCATATAAGTCTGTAAACTTTCAGATTGTTTAGTCACACCAAAAACTGAATAAAACACAAATATTTTTAGACAATCAAATAATCTGGTAGTTGGTAACTACCAAATTATTGGTTCCTTTCCAGTCAATAGTGACCATCAGCTGCCAGTGGAATGTTACCAACTCAAAATAGCAGCAGCAAGTAAGCCTGTTACTAAATGCAATTTTATGCAGTTATAGAAAACAAATCAGACTCATTCTATGAAAATACTGTAAAAGTGATTATGTTACATTGGCAAGTATATATTTATATGATTGGAAAAGGCAACCAAAAGTACCTGTTATACTGAAAATAATGAAACAGCACTCTAGTTACAACTAAAAAATATTCCTGTATTTAACATTATTGAATTGACTGTACATACAAAACTAATAGAGACTGTCTTCTCATCATAGACCAAATCAATTAAATCAGACTTTCACTGTAGTGTCCCAACCAACTCAGTAACCTAATTTTCTGCATTCACACAAAATATAATCATAATACCTCTTCACAAATGAAAAAATGGGCATTTTCTAAACACATATATGTATGAAACATGTTGCTGATGATCATATTAATGAGTTTATGTTATCTGTGTTGTGTTAGCAACATCTTTTATAATATGAATTGTACTATTATTACTTATTCCACACCCTATTGCCATCTGACAAACTTATAGATTCAAGGAATGTAATTAAAGATGTATGTAAATATTTACATATGTACAAGAAATGTTCACCTACAAGGCTACAAAGGCACAAAATCCAGAAGGCATTTTCACTACTATGAAGAAAACCTTGAATTTCATATACAAAACATTCAGTGTTACTTAACAAAGGTCAACTTCATCAGTTACCTTGCTCTCATGATAATCTCGTGTGTATTGTGGAGGCAAGTTCTCCTGGTAGGTGGCAGTAGCCAGGGGTAAAACTTTACCACAGCGACCCTCACTGAACCTGACATCAGTGTCCAGCAAGCTATGCAGTGAGCTCAGCAACAGCTGTTGTTGTTGCAATTTGTTCTTGTTTAGGTCCTTATCCAGTGACTGGTCACTGCTTAGGAAAAAGCTGTATGCCTTGTTTGATACTTCAAACCACACACCTGCTGTTGGAATCTAAACACAGATTATCAGCATTACTAAAATTTGGTGATAAGATTTCAATTACCTCATGAATCAAATACAGTAGAACCATAATATATTGCAGGTTTCAGGGGACAGCTTTAGTACCTGTGTTTTATGTGAAATTTACATTTATCTAATATTGGAATCCCTGATATTATGTATATTTATCCGGTGACTAAAATATATGCAATTTAAGGTACATGTTTCACCAATGCTATTGGCACAGACCACTCTAAATTTCCAACCATCAGTAATTGTGCAGGTAACAGAATTAGCATCAGAACAATGCAACACTTCCTGTCTCAACCAAAAGTGGTGCTCACTAAATTTTGCTGTTTGAACAAAATAACCCCAAGGTTAGAAAAACCAGAAACATACCAATCCATAGCGGCAGACCCACACACTACAGCAATACAGTCTTATATTGCAACCAAAACATTTCATAGAAATTCATTGATATAAAACATATGTAATCATATTTGGGGACATGATCACAGCCGCAGTATATCTGAGTCTGTGGTATATCGAGGTTCCACTGTACTTAATAAAGTTACCTCAAAATATCCAGCTGAAGTATGTCTACCAACATTATCATCAAAGCCTTTTGTGAATGCTTGGTCAATGTGCTGCTGTAAGAAGCTCCTGAAGTTGTGACCTGTTGAGGATAAAGAGTTGAAGACACTAAATTAGGATTTGCTGAAAATCAGAAAAGTATTGCCATGGCTCTACTTAATACTTATTACCCTACAGATTACACAAAAGTTTGTAGAGCTCAACATCATGCTTATCCAAATATCACACCCTTTTTTCAAAAATATTTGCACCAAAAAACTATATGCCCATCATATTCAAGATTCTGATTTAAATTAAATGCTATGCAAGTGAATATACAAACAGCAGCAACAGACTTAGCAACATTGCTCATGTAAATGAAAGGTGACAGATTATGTAATGTCAGATGAAATGTGCCAGCTGAGGTACTAGAATCTGTGAAAGAAATTGAAAACCAGGGCTTTAATGCACGACAGGAATGGCTACTGAACTCAGGAAGATTACCATTTTGTTACACTGGTCTTTAATTTCATAGCCAATGGAATCTAAAACTAAATCATGATTCTCTTTAAAGGCAATAACATGAACTATGCCAGATCTCTAAAATGCAGCAATACTACACTTTCCCAGGCACAGCAGATGAGAGAGTAGGAAAGTTCAATATTGCATTAAACACAACATTTTACTTTGTAGTCTCTGAGTTTGAAAGTCTGGATACTCCCAAATTCCTAAAATAAATGGATGCCTTTTTTACCAGCACAACTTACCATTTACTTCCAAGTGAATTTTGGAAAATGTATTAACAATCTCCTCATTACTTCTGTTACAGTCACCATTTGGATCCTTGCAGAAGTCCACCAGTGAGTTCACCATATGAGCAATTCCGTCATTGGATGGATCAACCTTTGTCTGAACAAACACAAATTCCTGATTTGCTGGAATTGCAAATAAGGAATTTGAACTGTAAAAAAATAAAATTTAATGAGCACTTTACAATGCAAGGTTTCATATATGTGAATAAGCATTTAGGACTATTATTTTGTAGCAGATGATTCAGATCTACATGTTAGTTTAGATGAAATACACTGTATATCATAATTCTCAACATAACTTGCATTCTCTTACTTCATTTATACCTAATGACAGAGTATCAATAAATTGAAGGTTTGCACATAAAACAGCACAAAACCTACAAGTACACAAAAAAGGCCAGACATTCTCACATTCTAAAAAAACTTTAATGAGTAGCCTCAGTCCATGTTAAGTGAGTCTCTTGTTGCCAGCATCCTCAGCTTGCACTTGAAGAAAACAACATCTAGATATACAAGACAGCTGTGAAAAGATTGAACAAGTAGTTGTAAACAGGTGACTAGTGGTGGTCCTCCAACTTGGGATTTGTGTAGTACCAACATACATACATACCTCCAAACAATCACTTCAAATTTTATTTATAAGATGGTCACTGTGAAAAAACTTAATGATGATGTGGAAACTATCAAAGCTATTTAATGTTAAGGAAGGTCTAAAAATAGGTCTGTTTAGTAGCAGATGTATAAAACAGTCATAAATCAAATCTCAACTCAGTAATGACTTTAACATTCTTAGATTCAGTAAAATGCCACCTCACATTGCACCTCATTTCATCATACCTGATATTAGTGATGACCCTACTCTTACGTAGGATATGGTATATCTGATCCTCCAAAGCATGTTCTAGTTTCTTTATAGATGGATATTTCCCACCAGATCCTAAACAAAAAACATAACATTTCCATATAAATTCTTGTTATAATTTGATATTTCAATAAATCCTTCAAGAATCTTGCAAAGTTCAAATATTTTGAAATGACAGCTGTAATAAAAAAAAGCATTCACAAAGAAATTACAAGCAGATTAAACTTGGGGAATGTTGCTATCACAAAGTTCAGAATTGTTTTTCAGTCTATCTAGAAACATAAATCGCGCAGTAAGGAGAATTTATACTCTTCACCAAATATTATGATGATCAAATCACAAAGGATGAGATGGATGGGGGTTGTACCACACATGGGAGAGATGACAATGCACACAAAACTTATATTAGATAATACGAAGGAAGGAAACCACTCTGAACACTTAGCCATATATGGGAGGATAATATTAAAATGGATCAAAACAGGGTAAAAGGGTGTTACTTTTCCAATATCAATAAATATTACTGGCATGTAGAGTTCATACATGAAGATAAGCATCTGCTGGGTATAAACTCCCACTGCCTGGTAACTGATCCAGTAACAAAACAGATTGTTTAGGTGTCATGATTTATGGTTCACTCTATCATATCTCACACAGTAAGCTCCACCTCATTCAGTTCATATAATCACTGACTCACCTGAACCTGTTCTTGCTACATCTATTTTGCCTTCACGATATATTGCAGGGCAAGATTCAAAGAGGAACAGAACTCGAGGAGAACACGGCCGACATGTAATGATCCATTCCTTTGGTAGACCAGGGATGGTCCGCAAAAGTTCACTGAATCCTCCTAATGCTTTCTGTCTGTAAAATTAAATTAATTTGAAAGCAACTGAAGTTGAAAAATATTTAAATAGCGATTCTTATATTCACTCTTCATATGTCACATAAATTAACATCACATATTAAGTTTGAGAACAGGAACAGTGGGGACTACACAAAAAAAAACACCCGATTTCATCACCTGTGACAATCTTTCAGATAAAGACCGAATTGTTACTTGTTTTACTGGTAGAGTTCACCACTGATCATCTAGCAGTCATTTGATTATTCTCGCATTAGCATTCATGGTACAGCTTGTTGCCAGATGTGATGCATCTCAAGATTCTCACTGAGAATAGTGTAGCAAGTAACAAGTAAAATTTGAACCATGTGTGAAAATGTCTCTACTACCAAATGACAATCAAACACATAGCTTGCCTCACATTGGCCTCATTCTGTTGTGTTGCAGACCACTGTTGCAGAAGTCATCTACCAATAGTTCAAGACTGTCTTTAAACCTGATTACCATCAAAAACCTTGGACAAAAACATCATTTGTTTTTCATACCCCATCCAAAACATCTGCAAATTTCCATTTCCAGATTTCCCAGTCTCTGGCAAAATCTGATGTTAGTCTGCTGCTCAAGGTAATCCATTTTACTTCCAAATCCTTCCACACATTGTGCTGTCTTCTGGGACCAATTACACTTCCTAATCTAATGACAACTTAATCATAAAACTATGAGCTGAACTGTGGCCATATTCACCCATGCTATGGCAATTTATAAAAAATGACTCCAGACTTACTATAGCAAACAGGTTCAAATATTAAATCCAGTGTAAAATACATAATACACATAACCAAGTAGCTATAACACATAATAAATTAGGGGAACTACAACTTTAAATATCACAAATAATGTCAACACTTACTTAATTTAATAAGAAAATACCTTGTGAAATGTGCAGAATAATATTTACCTCATGACATCAAGAGCCCGAAAGAGATGCACATAGCTGATATCAAAGTTGTGTGTTGGATGAGATATTAAAAGTATATGAGACACACTAAACAGGAACATAAGTGCGCGAGCATAACGATACTTCATATCTGCCCATACTGATAAGTAACCCTGCAAAGTACAGATATTAAAAGAAAAGACAATAAGATAAATACAACCCTCTTAAATCGATTTAACTTACAGAAATTATCCAAATTAATGTCTTACCTTTTCCTCCAATTCTTTAGAAAACAGGTCATAAGATTTAATTAGAGTATGAACATCAAACACTCCCCGCAGGTGAAGATAAATAACACGTTGCTTAGGATCATGGTATCCTTCAATATCACACTATAAGGAGAGAAGAAACATGTAGTACAGATAACATAAGGCTACAATAAGTTGTGATATGTAATCAAAATTAAACATATTTCAACATGACTTACTTCCTCACAACTATATTATAATCTTTCACTTCATTTATTTTCTTTCCAATGGCATTTCTTGTTTCCCCTCTTATGCTCAATATGTCATCTCCTTGATTGATATGGCCCTAATAATACTTATGTGAACAGGCAAATCAGTAAATTCTTTAAGTATTTTTGCCATCTGCAAGACTGTTCACCTGTCTTTGGTTTAAATGATTCCATTTCCTCATATCCCATACATCCATCCACCCAAATGATCACTCAAACAATCAGTCTTTCATAACAAAACACACCAAAATTATGTAGGGTTTCTTTTTCCCAAAATAGAGCTGAAACTGTCTTAATGGAGAGCAGTTATAGTGGTAAATCTGGAAAACTTATTGCTGTTCAAGTAATGTATCAGACATTAAAATAATAAAGGACAAATCCATGTTCCACTGCAACTACTTGGAAAAGGCACTGAGCATTATTGAACATGTGGCAATCTTAAGACAGGCCACAATGCCATTAATTTTTAATTCTGATGAACTTCTTTAAACAAAAACTGGTTTCACACAATAAAATAAGATATAATGACAACTTTGCAAATTTACTAGTGATGCTTTACTTACCAACATTAATATTTTCTATTAAGAATTATGATCATATTCCTCACCAGAAGTTCTTGATCAACATCAGGGTCATCTATCAGTGATGTATGGAACACTCGACGACCTGGAAACCCATCAATCAAACCAGCCTTGCAACCCAATGAAGAGTATGGAGATTTTCCAAAAAATGATACCACAATAACTTTCTGCTCCAACACACCAACTAAATCTCTGTAAAACAAACAAGAATGCACAATCTACTTCAACACATCTTTTTCAACTTAGAACACAAGTATCTGCATCTTAAATATGCAGCAAAAACTCTGTAACTTGTAACAATATAATAACCAAAACATTAGACCTAAATTATACAAAATACACCGTATAAATAGGAGATGTTAAGATTATGAATACTGAGTAGGAAGGATTGTGGCTAAAGCAGCATGACCCACACAGATATGAAGTCAGGAATAAAGGAAAGAAAAGAGCAAAATATGAATGATAAAGTAATATGTGATGAGAAAATTACATCAGAAGCATTGTTCTAACACTGTAAGAATGATCAAAATGACATGGTTAGAACACATATCATGCACTGCAAAAATTATAAATGCATACAAATTTTTAATATGAAACCTTGCAAAAAAAAAAAATTAACTTGAAAGACCTAGGTGAACAGGATATCCCTTTAAATCCCAGTGGTAAATATACACACCACCTGCTTTAACAATCCATAAACTCTACATTTTTCCCACAGAGCATGTTCATATGTTTCTTGGAGTAAACAGCAATTATTTCTGTAAATAGCTTTAACCAACTGATGTTTCATATAGCTTTGGTTTTTAGGTGAAAACCGCAAACTGAAAGCCAAAGTTATACATTCAACTTCGGCGGTGAAGACCTGCAGACAAGAACAACTGATCTTTGTAATGGACACACACTGTTTTCTTTCAGGGAGGAAATTAATCTTTAAATGTTATTCAGAAAATATTCAACTTCAAAGGACCTTATGAAAATGGTGTGAAAACAAGAACTGGGTTCAAATGGCTTGGAAAACAACCTTTAGGCTTTCATGGGAATGATCTGATGTGCTGAAAAACCGTCAACTATGGAAGGAATGCCTTGTGCCATGAAGTTGGTTATAGAGTTCTGACAAAAAAGGCAAATTAATCAAATAATTCATTCTCACATAGCTGCTTAGCTATATGCATGGCTGTATTTGTCAATAAATTTGAATAATTTGATCCTCACAAAAATGCTTCAATCAAAAAGGTTAACCACAATACACAGCCTATAACCGTTATGCTAACAAAATGAGTGGGAATAACATGTATGCACTTACTTTCCAGAAGGAATATGTGGTAACTTGAACTTTTTTGTCCTCATTTTTAGTTCCTTTTATTGCCTTCTTAATCCAACTGGAAACTTTCTGAAAGCAAAATAGAATTATTTATTTCTGGTACTCTGAAAGATGAAAAAAACATCTTTTCAGAATAATGGAAACATATTTCCAAACTAGACTTTTTCTCATGGAGTAAGGAGTGTAGAACTGACATGACACTGTGTTTAAATAAATGGAGAACAGAATGTTATAACAGTTGATATGTGTTTGAAACAATGAGAACCCACCACTCTGAAACACTTCTAAGCATAAAATACTAATAATCCTAAAAATTTTCAGTTTTCTGAATGTGTTGCCATTCACACTTACATACTTTCAGATCCCCAATTCACAACACAGAATTTGTTTATCCATGATCCAGTACTATAAAGATCTGTGTAACAATTAGGTTTGCTGTCATTCACTTAATTCATAACATGGGTCTGATTATTTCCAACACTGGAAAATCAATTCACAGCATGTAAAATAATTCATTTATCCATCTACTTAGCAAATCAAGAGTAGTTTTTCTAAAGCAAAAA